CAGAGCACTCTCCAGTTGGTCTGGCGGCAGCATTGCACCCCTGTATCACTCACATGTGTGTACAGCTTCTCCACACCGCTGAAGCCAGTCGCCCGCTCGTGGTGCTCCTTGATCACTCGGGGCAGCTCCTCGAGCGGCACCACGGGGCACCACCGCCACTCTCCGCTGCGCTTGACGCAGCGGCACAGGATGTCCTGACCGCCAGCGCCCTTTCAGCACCTAGAAGAACTGCAGCACCTTCTTGCTGTAGTTCTTGGTGCCGCCCTGCACTGCCGCCCCCCCTCCCGCACCCCGCCGCCGCCGGCCTGAGGGCGCCTGCTGGTCGCCCTGCTTGATCCGGATGATGCCCTCTACATCTGACTTAGTGAGAAACACATTCTTGGCGCCGTTTTGGCGCCGTTCTAAGGCATAAAGGATGACAGGTTGGTTCATAATTTTAAATTTGCGGCAGCTGCGGGGTGCGGGAGGGGAGAAATAGAAGCCTTAGAGACTTTGAAAGGCGAAGGAAAGGGAGGGATCGCGGGAGAGAGCGTGCCTGATGAGCCAGACGAATCGGGGGAGGTGCCACATCAGCGGGCAACACATGCTCCTGCCTGGCCCTGCTCAGGTGGCAGGCAGCAAGAGAGCAGGCCGTGGCGCGGGGCCGATCAGAAGCGAGAGGCAGAGAGAGAGGGGGCACCAGCACAGGGCGGGCAACAAGGGAAAGGGATGAAACCCTGCAAGGCTAGGGGTCCGCTCGCATGGTGGGTGATGGTGTGAATGAGGTCGGGTGGGGGCTGGTGGGGGGAAGGGCCTGAGGGAGGGGTGCTCACGCGGGAGACGAGGCGTGGGGACTAGCGTGCAGCTGCCCCCCCGGTGGGGGGCTGCCGTGCGCCTGCCGCGGCGTGTGCGGCGTGCGCGGCCGCGCGCGGGGCGCCGCCGCCACGCCCAGCGTCGTGCCGCACTGCGGGCAGGCCACCCCCGCGCTGGTGCCGCTCGTGGACCGGCCGCAGGAGGCGCTGCCGCCGCCGCCGCCGCCGCCGCCGCCGTCGCTGCTGCTGCTGGCGGCGCTGCCAGGCGGCGACGGCTTCAGTACGTGCAGCGTGAGGCAGGCCGGCACGAGGCCTGCTGTGCCTGCTGTGCCCGCTGAGCACGCTGAGCCCCCGCTCGCGGGGGCCTTGCCTCGCGCCGGCGAGGGGGCCGCCGCCGCCGCGCCCGCCGCCGCTGCCGCGCCGCGCCGCGCCTCGCGCTGCAGGGACAGCGTCGCGTACACTGCCACTGCTGCCACTGCCACCAGGGCTGCCGCCAGCAGGCAGGGCAGCACCACCCACAGCACGTTGCTACCGCCCGAGGCGCAGCTGGCGGGGGCGTCGCCGTCCCAGGCCTCTGTGGTGGTTGGCACCGATGATTTTATGTACAGGGCGGTGTTGGGGTTGGGCTCGAGGGCGGCCACAGGGATGCTGCGCACATGCTCCCCGCCCTTGAGGATGGCGATGGGCTGCGGGGTCAGGGTCAGGGGCAGGAGAAGGAGGAGAAGAATGAAAACACGTGGGCGACCACACGGGGGCACAGCAGGCGCAGCAGGGGGCACAGCGGGCACAGCAGGCGGCGCGGGGTGGGCGCCCAGCTGGCGGCGTGTGCCAGCACCCGCCCCGCCAGTCCCTGCTGGCGGCGGCAGCCGGCCCCAGGCGTCCCCGCGGATGGCCGAGCTGCTGCAGCCCAGGGAACGACCACCAACTGCTATTGCATGCAATACGTGTGGTCCATGCAGCGCCGACGCAGCAGCGGAGCGGGCAGGCCCCCACCCACCACCACCCCACCCCACCCCACCCCCCACCGGCCGCGCAGCGCCGCTA